CGCGCCGAGGACTGCCGAGGGGTTGCGCGGGCGCGGCTGCCAGGAGCGCAGGGCCGGCTCGCGCGCAGCACCTGTGCTGGCTGGGCTTGCCAGCCCGACACAGGGGAGCCGAGAAGCGGTGGCGGGCAGACGCCGCCTTCACTGCCCCTGGCCCCACGCACGCCTGGGTTCCAGTCCAAATCATCCGGCTGCTCCAGGGAAGGAGGTGGAGCGGGGCGGGAGGGACCCGGAAAGCTCAGTCTGGGCACAGCCGTCTGGGCGGGCTGGTCCAGGGATTTGAGAGTGTTTAGCTGTTCGCACCTCCAGAAGGAAACAGCTCAGAGGGACTGATCAACTTAATCTTTGTGGGTCTTAGGAGGGAGGTGGGCAGAGCCAGACCCGGACTTCAATTGTGGGAAAGAGAACTGATGGGAACCCATTGGCCTGAGCGAGAGCACCCCGCTTCTCAGGCTTCACCCAAAAGGGACCGCTCTCACCACCAACTAATCTACCTTTCCAGTTCCCATGGGACTTAAGTATGAATGGGTCAAAGGTAACTTAGAGCTCAAATGTTCTTCTAAATTAAAAACCCCAAATTCCGAAGAACTTTGTCTTCTGGTCTGAGAAAGACAGACAGGAAGGAAACCAAGGGCTTTTAGGATCCAAATGACTGCTAACCTCCAAAAAAGACACAGGGGAAGGGGAGAACACTGGATTAGTTGCCTACTGTGCCCAGTCATTTAGCATCTATTATCTCATCTTGCACCATTGTGACCTTATGAGATGTGCATTTATAGACAAAGAAGGTGAGGCTGAGTAAGGTTAAGTGCCTGGATGAAGATGACACAGCTTGTGCCCAGCCGGGTTTAAATCTAAGCCTGAGCAACTCCGTGGTTCAAGCCCTTTTCACCATGGTAATAAGCAGGCAGGTACTCTATGCAAGGAGAAAACAGTCCATGGACTATCCACCGAAGGTTGACAAATCAGGCCAAGACCCCGAGTAGAAGCACAGCCTTCTATTTGAGTAGAGAATTTCTCGGATCCAAAGATCAAGGAAATCTAGGTTAGGAATCAGGGTAAAGAATGTCTCTGGAAGCTGAAAGGCATAATCCTCTCTCCCTCAAGGCAAAAGTGATGCCCAACTTCAGGAGGAGGAAATGTAGAGAAACTAATTTCAACCTGTTTTTCCTTATAGTCTTTTCTTATCGTCTTGATCTTTTTTATTGGTCAAGATTTACTATTTATGCAATCTTAACTGAATTCTCTTTTAAAAAGAGGTATTGGCAAGTAATAACCACAATTTCAGAAATGGGTGTCCTTTCCCCAGATACTTACTAAAAGTCTATTGTCGACAAAGTGAAGGTGTAGTTATTAACCACTTTATTTTACCCAGATTTAGGTATTTTAATTTGTATAGAAAGAAGGACTTTGGGTGTAGGAGATAGGAGACCGTCTTTTGATTTCACTGTTTTTTGGAACAGACATTTGACAGAAAAATATGATTCAGACAATTACTTTTATCTTCAAATTTACTACTTACTGTCTGTTAGCACCATATACAATATTTTATGAGATCATTTTATCTTAGAGTAATGATTAGTGTTTTCTGACAATCTTATTAACATAATTTTTAGACTAGTTTTTAAAACCAAAAGGCACGTTGTACAATTAATTATGACAGGCATATTAAAAAAACACACACAAAGAGATAATTACCCATAAAATGAATATCAACATATTCTTCATCTCCTTCAGGGGAAAATTTAAAATATCAGTAAAGGATTTGGGTATTGATTCTGCCTGAGGGAAAATTGTCCACTGAAAGACAACTCTGAATTAGTTGTCCCTGAGACATGAAAATGTGATGTTTACTCACCTTTCCTGTGTGAGCTCTTTCTTTGAAGTCACTGTGGTATTGGATCTGTCATTATTTTGAGTGCTTACAAGGTGTTCTGCTCTGTAGTAAACACTCTACATGTATTATCTACTAATTCTCCTGTTAACACATTTAGATAGGCACCAATATCACCCCTATTTTGCAGGTGGAAAACTGAGGCAAGCAAAAGTCATACAGTAACTTGGGAGCCAGGTTCAGACCCAGAGTTTGAATCCAGAATTCAGGCTCTTAGCTACCATGATAAACTATTTAATATTTGTACTTGCTGCCTTGTCCTTGCCTTTCAAAAATGATATTGAGGTTTGAATGTTTTTTAATTAGAAAAATGAATGTTCACTAAAGAAAAAATGGAAAATGCAAAAAGTAGAAAAACATCCATAATTTCAACACCTAAGTATATCAGTGGTTAGTTTTGGAACATTTTCATCAAGGCTTTTCTTTTTTAAAATTTATTTTTCAGTTACAATTGACATACAATATCATATTAGTTTCAGGCATGCAACATAGTGATTTGACATTTATATCTTACAAAGTGATCACCCCCATCAGTCTAGTACCCATCTGACACTATTCAGTTAGCAATAGTATTGACTATATTACCTATGTTGTACTTTTCATCCTAGTGACTATTTTTGTAACTTGCAATTTGTACTTCTTAATCCATTTCACTGTTTAAAAAAACTTTTAAAAATTTTATCTTTCAATTACAGTTGATATTCAATATTATGTAAGTTTCAGTGTATAGCATAGTAGTTAGACAAATATTTATATTACTTATGAATTGATCCCCCCTAAGTCTAGTTACCACCCGGCACTGTACATAGTTATGACAATATTATTGACTATATTCCCTATGCTGTACTTTACATTCCCAGGACTGTTTTGTAACTACCAATTTGTACATCTTAATCCCTTTACCTTTTTCACCCAGCTCCCTAACCCCCTTCCCATCTGGTGACTATCAATTAGTTCTCTGTATCAATGAGTTTGTTTCTGTTTTGTTTATTTTTGTTTTTGAAATTCCACAGATGAAACATATGGTATTTGTTTTTCTCTGATTCATTTCACTTAGCATAATACCCTCTAGGTCCATACATGTTGTCACAAAGGGTAAGATTTCATTCCTTTTTTTTTCTTCTAAATATATCTTTATTGATTTCAGAGAGAGGAAGATGAGAGGGAGAGAGAGAGTTGAAACACCAGTGATGAGAGCGCCATCACTGATCAGCTGCCTCCTACCCACTCCCAACTGGGGATCGAGCCTGCAACCCAGGCACGTGACCTGACCAGGAATCAAACCACGATCTCCCGGATCCCAGGTTGATGCTCAACCACTGAGCCACGCCCGGCTGGGCTCATTCCTTTTTTCTTTTTTTTCCTTTTTTTTTTTATGGCTGAGTAATATTCCATTGTATATATGCATATTGATGGACATTTAGGTTGTTTCCACGTCTTGGCTATTGTAAATAAGGCTGCAGTGAACATAGGGGTGCCTATATCTTTTTGAATCAGTGTTTTGGATTTCTTTGAATAAATATACAGAAGTGGAATTGCTGGGTCACATGGTAGTTCTATTTTTAATTTTTTTAGGAAACGTCATACTGTTTTCCATAGTGGCTGCAACAATTTTTAAACCCACAAACAGTCGATGAGGGTTCTGTTTTCTCTACATAGTTGCTGCACTTGATTTATTGAGGATGACCGTTCTGATGGGTGTGAGGTTATATCTCATTGTGGTTTTAATTTGAATTTCCCTGATGATTAGGGATATTGAGCATCTTTTCTTATGTCTATTGGCTATCTGTATGTCCCCTTTGGAGAAATGTCTCTTCAGGTCCACTGACATTTTTAAATTGGGTTATATGTCTTTTTGGTGCTAAGTTGTATGAGTTCCTTATATATTTTGGATATTAACCCCTTATCAGATGTATCATTGGTGAATACCTTCTCCCAGTCAGTAGGTTGCCTTTTTGTTTTGTTGATGGTTCCTTTTGCTGTGCAAAAACATTTTAGTTTGATGTCCCAGTAGTTTATTTTTTCTTTTGTTTCCCTTGCCCAAGGAGACATATAAAAAAAATTGCTAAGAACAATGTCAAAGAGTTTACTACCTATGTTTTCTTCTAAAATTTTCATGGTTTATGGTCTTACATTTAATTCTTTAAGCCA